CGTCACTTCTGAGTAAGCAGACAGGACTAAGTGAAGGAATTTTACAGACGGGCTGAAGACCTGTTTTCTTGGAAATATTTTCCCACGGACACAGGAAAGTGTGACTTCTGCAAAAGATTTGGTGCCTTGCCAATTCTGTGCTTTCTGACATAGAAACTAAGGCACAAACACACAAAATTTACTTCACTTTTAAAAAGTAATGAAAGGAAAATCATGAAAATAACATGTTTTCACTTCCATTCTCATTATTTCAGGATCTAGAGGGATATGATGTTGTAGAATCGGTCTTCTATACATCACCCCTAAAGAGCTGGCCTGCATCTCAAGAAAAACTCAGAAAGGCTTCTCATAGTGCCGCCCACCTCTAATACCTCTAATACCTGCTACATAGGAGGCTGAGATTAACAGGACTGTAGTTAAAGCCCAACCCAGGGAAAGGGTTAGCAAGATGTCATCTGAGCAAACAAACTGGCTGGATGGCACACACATTTGTTGTTCCAGCTATGCAGGAGGTTGTAGGTAGAAGGCTCTTTGTCAGATCTGATCAAAAATGAAAGACTTTACCTAGAAAATAACCAAAGCAAAAATGACAAGGGGTGGCTTGGCTCAAGTGGTAGAGTGTCTAACAAACAAGAGGCCCTGAGATCAAACCCACCACCCAGGAATAAAAGACAACACTAGTGAAGACATCCTCATTGTTGGTGCCTGACATCACTGCACATTCCATGGGAAGTGGTGCCCACCATGAATAACTCTGAAACTTTGCTAATTCAATGATTACTAAAGATCCTACCCACCGGCACCTTAAATCCAATCACGTTACCAATCCATCATCAGCTCATAAGCAAGTTGGTCAAAGGTGTCTGTGCCCTCATTCTATACTGTGGATGACCTAGGACAGAATGGCATCCAAGACAGACCTTAGAGCTCTGTTGGCAAGGAGGACCACAGAAGGCAGCACTGGGTTGGGAAGCTCAGCAGTGAGCAAAATACAGAGCAGGGAGGGCACCCAAGGCTTGGGACTCATGCTCATAAAAATGGCATCAGTGCCTTTTTATAGGGAAAGGATCAAGACAATGGAGAAAAAAGAAAATGAGACTGAAAAAATACTGTTTACAAAACAAATGAACCAAAACTTACAGTTCATTTACACTATTATATAAAATAAACACTGGAAAGTGGTACTGATGGAAATATTATGTTCTCTTGCTTAGAAAAGAAAATAAGAAGATATGCACGCTGGAATGTGTAAATGAATAGATGCATGTAAACTAATACCAGCTGCACAGACAACATGGAGAATATCTTAAAGGGTTTAAGATGTGAATGTGGCCAAATGGGGTTACTTGAGCTTTTGGCCATGGAGTATAGGAGAATCATGATTCCAACACAGCCAGGCAGAGAGTTCATTCTCATCAACAATGTAAAAGGGCATATCTTCCTCACATCCCTACCTGCACCTGCTGTGACTGGTGTTCTGGATGGTGGCTATGCTGAGTACTTGAGTATAGCCATGGTGCCTGGGGCATAGAGCATCAGCGGCAGCTTGCTCTGAGTTCACCAACTTTGTCCTCACATGCAAGCTCTGACAATCTCCCTGCTGATTCCCAACCAGCCATACATGGGGACAGCTTAATGTGGGGCCAGCGTGAGAAATTTGCTCCAAAGCAGTCACTCTGGACCCAAACTCCTTCTTCCTCTTCTTCCTCCTCCTCACTATGACTGACAATGTGTCTAGAGGCCTACTCTACCAGATTCCATTTTCTTTTTTTTTTAATTGTGAAAATACCATACAGAGGGGTTACAATTACATGAGCAATGTAATGAGTACATTTCTTATCAAGCATCAGTGCTGTAAATAAAGTGAAAATTCTCCAGAAACACCCAGAAAATTCCAAAACATGAACCCAGAAATGTCAGTTGGTCACTGGTCCTAATTGCAGTGCTAATCCAGTGCTGAGCAGTTTTCTTTTTCTAACTGAGATACTATTTCCCTGCACAAAATTGAAGCTCAATTATTAAGGGACAAGAGATGAAGAGGAAAAATAGGAAGTCCTAAGATAGTAATATAAGCAAGGAGAGAGTGGGTATATCTGTTATCAATAGGTAATTCTCAGAAGATGAGAGCCCAATGCCTGGTAAAGGCTAATAATTGGGAAATGCAGAAAAGTATTGTGCACGCAAAAAAGAAACATTGACTGGAAAAAAATAAATAAAAGTTTTGAAAATATTTGGAAAGGATTTGAATAAGGGAAAACTGAGAAAGTTCCAGATTGGAAATATGAGAATTCCTCTTTATTAAAATAATTTCAGTTATAAAAATGTTCATAATGCCCTTCATGGGTTCAAAACATATTAGCACCTGGGGCTGGGAATGTGGCTTCGTGGTACAGTGCTTGCCTAGCATGCACGAGACCCTGGGTTTGATTCCTCAGTACCATATAAACAATAAATTAAAGAAAGAAGTAAAATTAAAAGAGAAAAAAAGAAATATAGAAAATATTAGCACCCTAAGGTCATTATAGTCAGGAGATTTATATTAGATGATTTATATTTACTCTTCAAATTTTGCCACTTTTCCCATCTGTCCTCTTTTTTTCTAGTCTGAGTTACAAACAATAATCATAGCAAGGGATGTATGTGTCTCTTACTTTCTTACAGTCTGAGATGGATCCTCTGGATTATTAGACACAAACTATTGTTTTAAAAAGCCAACAGGTAAAATACAAAGGTAAAGTGCCCTATCATAATGAAAAGTGACCCTCAACAGTAAATCTCAAGGACAATAATTAACATTGGCACTATGAAATGTTTAGCCCTATTTGTGGTACTATTTAAATGAATGTACTATGAAATTTTTTAAGTTACTTAGTCTCAACAAAAGAAATCTTTGGGGAAAATGGAAAATAGAAAATAGGAGAATTCATGAAAGAATCTCAAGGAAATTAAATAGGGACATCTCAGAAAAAGAAATAAAAATGCTCAGTAGACAATGAGGAAATTCTCAGCATCTCTGGCCATAAAGAAAATGCACATAAAAAACAACACTGAGATAACACCTCACCCCACTTAGAATGGCCATCATCAAGAACACATAGAACAATAGATGCCAATGCAGATGTGGGAAGAAAGGAAGACTAACACACTGTGGGTGTGTACTACTGCACCCACTGTGGAATGCAATTTTACAATTCCTCAAAAACTAAACATAGACACATCCTGGGGTCCAGAAAATCCACTCTGGGGCATTTATTCAAAGATAAATAGATGGTATTTTTTTCACTCAACACACAGTAAATCCTCCACAAACATTCTGAATAAATTAATGGCATGGCTTTCTTCATATCAGTATTTTTAAATATTTATCATTCCTCTACAAAATTTTGTGTGTTTGTGTGCCAATACTAGAACTATAACTCAAGGCCTGAGTGTTGACCCTTAGCTTATGTGGTCAGGGTTAGTATTCTACCATCTGAGTCACAGATCCACTTTCAGATTTGGGGGGGTAATTGGAGATCAGAGTCTCACACTTTCCCATCCATGCTGGCTTGGAACCGTGATTCTCAAATGTCAGCCTCTTGAGTAGCTAGTAGTACAACTATGAGCCAACAGCTCCTGGCTAAAAAACATTAATGACAAAAAGTATTCAGAGTGGCATACCTTGGGTTATCTTTTCAGATACTGATATCAATTCAGAAACTAAATCTCTTTAGCACACAGATTTCACATAGGGACAGAGAAAAAATATTGAGATGACTTTTCACTTTGCCTTTACACACGAAAATGCCCATGTAAGTAACATACTGCAGAAGGAACGCATGTTATAGTAAATCTAAGACCCACAATACCTTTCTACCAAAATATTGGATTTGGTTGCCCACGGGAAAACTAAAGAGAAAATAGACAAAAGATGAGAAAACCTAATGGGAAATGCTGTCACACCTTTCTAGTGATTGAATTGCACAAAGCAAGAATGACCTTTGAAAGAAAGGATGACTGAAAGATCTGAAGGGAGATAAAAGGGACAGGATGTGAGGAGTTACTACAGGAATGCATTTGGTTTCAAGTTGACCACAGAAGCTGAGCAGGAAAACAGAGTGCAGGGACAGAAGAAATGAACTAGGAATATGATTTTCTATGTTTCAGGTTTTGAAAGAAGAGATCAAAGGCTTAATATTGGGAAGGAAATAAATTCAGAAGATACCTATTTGGTTTTAATATTGGGAAGTAAAGAACCAGAATAAAGAAATAGGGCCAAAGTAGATGCATCCAAGATTAAATGGGGTTGGGGAGAAGAAGAATTGATCTACTCAGAAGCACTAGATCTACCAGTACCAATAGTTCCTGCCCATAATCCCAGCTACTAAGAAGGCTGAGATCTAAGGATTGCAAGTCAATTGCCAGCCACCCTGCCAGCAATAAAGTCTATGAGACTCTTTTCTTCAATTAACCACAAAAAAAGTGGACATATGCCTCAAGGGGTAGAGCACTAGCCTCAACAAAAGAAAAGAAAATTCTCAGGAACAGCACCTATGCCCTGAGTTCAAGCCTCAGGTACAGCACACACACACACACACACACACACACACACACACACACACACACACACACACACACACACACACACACACAAACTACTAATCAATCTATCTCTAAAGAATAAAGACTAAATTCATTGCATCAGCCACTTGACATGAGCAATATTCAGGAACTTGTCACACCAAAATTCCTAACAATGTCTCTTGGATAACCTTAACGATATTTCTCTAAAATTATCTCCCTCAAAGAGGAAAACAAAAAGACCAGGTCCCTGAATATTTCCTAGTCCCTGGAAACCCTACCAGCACTAAATGTTGAAATGCAACCTCTCAGGCAGACAGGAAGGATGCCAGTTCAGAGCTGTGTGAGAAGGCAGCTGTTCACACAGCAAGGCTCACTGATCCATGGCCTGGGGAGGAGGTTTATGAACGAGGCTGAAGCATGGTGGCATATAAGTTATAATGCTGTCCTCAGTAATAATCTGCCATATCTACAGCCTCTATTCTACTGATGGTCAGTGTGAAATCAGTCCCAGACCCACTGCCAATGAACCTATCAGGGACTCCAGATGCCTGGGTAGATGCCCCATACATGAGAAGCTTAGGAGCTTTTCCTGGTTTCTGTTGATACCAAGCCAAGTAGTTATTACCACCTGATAACAGACTCTGGCTGGACTTGCAGTTGATGGTGACCCTTTCTCCTGCAGACACAGACAGGGACCTTGGAGACTGAGTAACAACAATTTCTGCACAAGCACCTGCAACCAGGAATGCACAATGATCATTCATACAATTAGGCAGAAAGACAGGTAGGCAGATAAACAGCTGTTATAACATAGAAATAAATACTGAACTATGCCATAAAAATATATTCCCTAATGTTATATCAGTATATTCATCTCTATAGAGATATTAGTCTACAAACGGGAATGCAGATAAACTTTTTTGTGACATTTTCAAATATCTCACCAGACATCCAAAGGAAAAGGAGCACAAGGACCTGGGTCTGTGCTGCCATCTTCCTGTCCCAGTCCACTTGACGCAGCTCAGGTCCCAATTCAGAAGGACTCATTTATTAAAACTGACAAGCAGCCTGGGGGGTCTTATGCAAAGCAATCTGCATAAAAGGAAGCAAATAACCAGAACAGTGGATTATAAAAATGCTTGATACCAATCAAGAGCCCAAATGTAATTGTGCAACTAGAAAACAGAGCAAAGACAATTTACAAGCTCTAAGCTCAATCTGAAGACCTAAACTACTAACCAATAGATGGAGTAGTAATAGACTTTCAGGGTTAAACAATATTAGTTTGACTTTTACAGAAATGATAGGCAAACTAGCTCAAACAGATAGAGTTAAACACAATAATATAATATAAAAAAGCAACAAATATTCAAGAATAAAAAAGAGATGGAGGAGAAGGAAAGAGGAAGGAAGGAAAATTTGGGCAAAGAAAAGATGGGGAAAGATACAATAAAAAAAGTGACAAATTTGGTCTGCGGTTTGAAGTCAGAGGCTCATGTTTCCTCTGTATTTATGCTTCTCTGGAGCTGTACCAGTTTTACCATGCCTCAGGTGCACTTTTTTAGGGTTATTTTCGAGATTGAGTGGAACATACTTTTCTTCCCATATCTGCTTCAAACCTCATCTTCATGGAAGCAGCACTATGGCTCCAGTGGTAGAGAGCTAGCCTTGAACTGAAGAGCTCAGAGACAGTGGCCAGGCCCAGAGTTCAAGCCCCACGACCAACAGAAATGGGGCTGTGGCCCAATGGTACAGCACTAATCTCAAGCAAAAATGCTTGGAGACTGCCTTCAGAACATGAGTTCAAGCCCATAACTTACAAACAAAAACAAAGACAAAACTCTTCTAGACCTCATCCTCCTGACTCCCCAGGATCAGAGTATAAGTCAGCAGTGCTTGGCTTCAGGACATTTTCTTTCAAAAGCAATCTTAAACCTTAAGTATAAAACCAGAAATAACATTGTCCACTCAATGTGCATGTTAAGTGTTCCATTTAACCAATATGATCTCCCTTCTTACATTATTTCAAAGGTAATTTTCTGCAATCATTTTCTCAAGTTGAAAAATATTATAGCATAAAAAAAGATTCAAAGCTCAGCTAGAAACTGTTAGCTAGGGGGCCTGCCACAGTACAAGAAAGCCAAAAATGCCATGATGGAGGAAGATACCAATTTCAAGCCCAAGAATATGAACTAATGCTCCCAAGACAGTTCTAACAAGTTACTTTTTCCTCTAGACTTCAGCAGAACATTACAATTTTGCTTTGTGACTGCTCCAAAGAGTTAAATTTTGCTTTCTTTCGTTCCTGTAATATTGCTCATTCCGTTTAGACAAGTACAAAATAAGGTTTTAGAAACCCAAAAAAGTCAGCTATAACTACTTTTCACAGTGTGTGGAGACTTCTCTGTTTCTTCTAGATAGAGACATCCAAAGAGATCCTTTTACACTAAAAGAAAACGTGACCGACTCCTTAGTTGTTACTTTTCTACAAATCAAGTGTCCATTGTGAGGTGGTATATTACATCGGACAGGAAAGTCCGAGAGACACTTATAAACCACTAGAAAACCGGAAGAGGCACTGTGGCTCAAGTGGTAGAGAGCTCGCCTTGAGATGAAGACTGCAGGGACAACACCCAAGCCCAGAGTTCAAGCCCGATGTCTGACCAAAAAATAAAAAGGGAAGATATATATGGAAACAACAATAACAGAATGTTCACCAGTTTTTAAAAACTATTTCCTAGGATACTTATATACACTACTAAAGTGTAATTTCCCACCTTAGCGCTTATCTTAATTGTTTTTTTTATTTTTTATTGTGAAAATACTGTACAGAGGAGTTACAATTACATGGGCAAGATAGTGAGTACATTTCTTATCCAGCATTGTAGCCTCCTCCTTTGTTTACACTTCCCATCCCTTCCCAGCCTCCCCCCCTTCCCCTACCCAATCCTCCCCCCCCCCCCACCAATGTTATAAAGTTCGTTTTCGACATGACAACTTGTACTTCTCTTGTTGCAATGGGTCCACCTGTATCCTTATTTAAATGACTTGTTTTCCCCTTCCCCTCCACAAATTATACCGACATCAAATACAGTGAAAGCAGGGGTTATACTGTGGGGGAGAGATATACAAAGCAACAAAGAAATAATCTTATAAATGTGTTAGAAACAAATGCAAGAAAGAAAAAAAAACATTTAAATACATATCTTAGGGTTCATTTTCCTAACATCACCTTATCCGACCTTTTCTGCTTGACTCATACATATACTAGATATTACAAATAAGGGAAACCATGGGACCTATGTTTCTTTGGGCTTGGCTTACTTCACTTAATATAATTTTTTCCAAGTCTTTCCATTTCCTAACAAATGGGGCAATGTCATTCTTTCTGATGGAGGCATAGAATTCCATTGTGTATATAAACCACCTTTTCTTGATCCATTCATCTACTGAGGGGCATCTGGGTTGGTTCCATACCTTAGCTATGATAAATAATGCTGCAATAAACATAGTTGTGCTGGTAGCTTTAGTATGGTTTTGTTTGTGATCTTTTGGGTAAATGCCCAAAAGTGGGATTGCTGGGTCATAGGGGAGCTCTATGTGGAGTCCTTAGCGCTTATCTTGAAGCAGACAATTAGCTCTATACTTAAAACAGAAATTTTTTTCCCTCCCTTCAGAGTTCTCTTCACATGAACATCACACAGTTTAATTCATTAAGACAAAGGAAAAGCCATTGCTAGGTGTTGTTTCTAATATGCTTTGTCAACTTGGCTACTACCAACATAGCTCAAGTCTATTGTGTCAATGGTAGGAAACTGAAGGACAATATTTGGGAGAGCAAAATTGTTTATCTTCTTAGCTTGGAAGGAACCAAATAGGCACTGCTCCCCTCCAAGAGACCAGTCCCCACACCTGCACTGCATTGGGTCTCATTGCTGTCTTAGAGAGGGTGGTCCATATGCACCTCACCTCCCCCTTCTGCCATAAAAAAAACTTCCAGACCTTCCACATGGCCTCTTACTGCCCATTGGGGCAGGCATCATCAAATTATCCTTACTAGATTCTTCCCAATACAAAAATTATTTGGTGCAACAATGATGCCTCCTTATGTGCCCCTTAAGTCTTTCCATATTGCTGCACCCAGCATACAATTTGCATAATGCTCCCTAGGGAGGAGCCTCCTTGCTAAGGCTAAGATAAAAGCTTAACTCTCACCCTAAGTTGACTGATCAGGACTCCTCCTTTCAGCTTCTCAAGATGAGATGCCCTGCTCAGCTCCTGGGTCTGCTGATGCTCTGGATCCCTGGTAAGGGCACAGAGAGATGGAGAGAAGGAAGGAAATGGGGTGTGAGGGTGGGGTCTAGTGCACCACTGCTGCTGTTGTGTGTTCTGTCCACATGTGAGGTATGTGGATCTCATACTTCAGAATGGCAGGTGCTGTTTAGAGCTCTGAGGGGGAGGAAGAATCCAGGGCATCAGGATCTAGATTCTGGTAAAATTTGTTCTATAGTGTGAGATGGTAAGAAGAACACCCTAAGGGCACATATCTTAAAACTGAATATTTACAATTCAAATCAAAATTCAACCAATAATTCAGAACAATGTAGGAAAATTATGGAAACAGCTAAAAATTTTTATGTGACTCCCCACTTGACTTCCTTCTTTCTAGGATCCAGTGCAGACATTGTGATGACACAGACTCCACACTCCCTGATCGTTGCCCCTGAAGAGCCAGTCTCCATTTCCTGCAAGTCCAGTGAGAGTCTCCTGAATAGCAATGGATACACATACTTGCATTGATACCTGCAGAAGCCAGGCCAGTCTCCACAACTCCTTGTCTATATGCTTTCCAACAGATTTACTGGGGTCCCAGACAGATTCAGTGGCAGTGGGTCAGGCACAGATTTCACACTGAAAATCAGCAAGGTGAAGCCTGAGGATGCAGGGATTTATTACTGCGGGCAAAGCAATAAACGCCCTACCACTGTGCTACAGCCCAGAGCAAAAACCTCCCTGCATGGGTCAGCCCAGCTGTGCCCATGTGCTGCTTGCCTGGGGACCAGCAGAGCAGATTCTCTGGGTCTGTGTGCAAGGACAAGGTTGGGCAACTCAGAGTTATAAACTGCAGCTGAGGTCTCTGTCCCATGGGGGCCTCAGCTATACTCAATGAAACCTCATTGCTGGTCAGCTGTAACACACACCCATAGCATTTGTGACAGAAAAGTACAGATGCCTTAAGGCACTTCTGGGTAAGTAGAAAAAACTAACTCAAGGAAGTTTCCAGAAAGATTGAAGATACGTTTTTTTTCAGATTTTCCCAAAGACACAGGAAGGTGGTATCCTCGACTTCTAGAAGGGATTTGTGCCTTGCCAATTCTGTTCCTTTTCAGATTGAGATATAAACTAAATCACAAACACAAAATATGACTTATTGAGTAAAAGTAATAAAAGGAAAAATCATGAAAATGCCTTATAATGATTGCACTTAATTTTTCAGTTCTCCTTATTTCAGGATCCAGAGGGGATCATGTGATGCTGCAGACTCTGCTCTTCTGATCCATCTCCCTTAGAGAGCTGGCCTGTATCTCAAAAGAATCACAGAAGGCCTCCCATACTGACTCATACCTGTAATCCCTGCTACTCAGGAGGCTGAGATGGAAATTATAGTTCAATCCCTACACAGGAAAAAGTTTAGCAAGACTCAATTTTAGCAAACAAGTTGGTATGAGGGCACACATTTGCAGTTCCAGCTATGCAAGAGGCTGTAGGTCAGAAGATCTTTGCAAAATCTGAGCAAAAATAAAAGACTTTACCTAAAATATACCTAAAGCAAAAAGGGAGTAGGGGTGGCATGGCTCAAGTGGTAGAGTGTCTGCAAGGAGGGAGGCCTTTGTTCAAACCTGTCAGAGGCAGGGAATAAACAACAGAAATGAAGTCATCTTTTCTGGGTGGCACTGGCCATCACTGCACATTGCATGGGACATGGTTGCCAATATGAATGCTTCT